AAGGTTAACAGGAAAACCGTAGCACTCAACGGGCTTTGCTTGGTATGTGGGAAAGGAGGGCGCAGAAGCTGAAAGACAATGGCTTACCATGGCCGCATGCAAGCCGAATTCTGTTGCCCGGACCTGCGGCTGTGATCTCTAGCAGCAAAGCCACAGGCACTCAATATTAAGAGGCAAAATGCGACCTTGCACAGAAATCACATGTGCTATGTAATGTGAATAGTGTTGGTCACCGTGAAAGAGTATAAGCATTGTTCTGCAAAATGTATCTTTTTAAAAAATGCTCTCCTTTTTTCCCTCCCTCCAGCAGCTGCAAATTTTTCAAGCCTCGCTCCTCCGTCCCGAAGGCTATCTCAGATAAGGCGTCGGAAAAAGAAGATGCGAGACAAGATGTTCACGGAAATCATGGAATCCACCCGCAGTGAAAGAGCTCATCTGAATGAGTGGAAGGACACGGTTTCAAAGTATAGGAAAGAAGCCAGTGAATGTGAGGACAGGAGGGACCAACGTGAGGACAGGAGGGACGCTCGAGATGAGAGGTGGCGGCAGGAAGATCAGAGGAGGCAGGATGCAACGCTGGGGCTGCTGCGTGAGCAAACAGACATGCTCCGGCGTCTGGTGGAGCTTCAGGAACGGCAGCAGGATAACAGAGTGCCGCTACAGCCCCTGTATAACCCCCCTCACCCCTCACCATGTTCCATAGCCTCCTCACCCAGACGTGTAAGAATGTGGGGGGGAGACTCCGTACGCCCTCCCATTCCACCCCAGTGGACAGCCCAAGCAAAAGGCTGTCATTTTTGTAACCTTTTTTTAGTAGCCTTTTCCTTCCCGCCGATCCTCCTCCCAAACCCCACCCGGGTTCTCTCTCTCTTTTTATAATCAATTAATAAAGAATAAATGATTTTTAAACGATAGTGACTATTTCCTTTGAAAGCAAGCTGGGGGAAGGGGGAGGGTGGGTTCCTTACAGAGAGTGAGTCAATAAAGGGGGCAGGTTTTCATGAAGGAGAAACAAACAGCAATTTCACACTGTAGCCTGGCCAGTCATGAAACTGGTTTTCAAAGCTTCTCTGATGCGCAGCGCTTCCTGGTGTGCTCTTCTAATCGCCCTGGTGTCTGGCTGCGCGTAATCAGCAGCCAGGCAATTTGCCTCAGCCTCCCACCCTGCCATAAAGGTCTCCCCCTTACTTTCACAGAGATTGTGGAGCACACAGCAAGCAGCAATAACAATGGGGATATTGGTTTGGCTGAGGTCTGAGCGAGTCAGTAACGATCGCCAGCGACCTTTTAAACAGCCAAATGCACATTCTACCACCATTCTGCACTTGCTCAGCCTGTAGTTGAACAGCTCCTGACTCCTGTCCAGGCTGCCTGTGTATGGCTTCATGAGCCATGGCATTAAGGGGTAGGCTGGGTCCCCAAGAATAACTATTGGCATTTCAACATCCCCAACGGTTATTTTCTGGTCCGGGAAGTAAGTCCCTTGCTGCAGCCATTTAAACAGATTAGTGTTCCTGAAGACGCGAGCGTCATGAACCCTTCCCGGCCAGCCCACATTGATGTTGGTGAAACATCCCTTGTGATCCACAAGTGCTTGCAGCACCATTGAAAAGTACCCCTTGCGGTTTATGTACTGGGTACCCTGGTGCTCCAGTGCCAAGATAGGGATATGGGTTCCATCTATCGCCCCACCACAGTTAGGGAATCCCATTGCAGCAAAGCCATCCACTATGACCTGCACATTTCCAAGAGTCACTACCTTTCGTAGCAGCAGCTCAGTGATTGCTTTGGCTACTTGCATCACAGCAGCCCCCACAGTAGATTTGCCCACTCCAAATTGATTCCCGACTGACCGGTAGCTGTCTGGCGTTGCAAGCTTCCACAGGACTATCGCCACTCGCTTCTCAACTGTGAGGGCTGCTCTCATCTTGGTATTCTGGCGCTTCAGGGCAGGGGAAAGCAAGTCACAAAGTTCCATGAAAGTGCCCTTATGCATGCGAAAGTTTTGCAGCCACTGGGAATCATCCCACACCTGCAACACTATGCGGTCCCACCAGTCTGTGCTTGTTTCCCAGGCCCAGAATCGGCGTTCCACGGATAGAACCTGCCCCATTAACAACATGATCTCCAAAGCACCGGGGCCCGCGGTTTGAGAGAATTCTGTGTCCATGTCCATGTCCTCATCACTCTTGTCGCTGCGCTGCCATCGCCGCCTCCTCCTCTCCTCGTTTTTCTGGTCCTGGCTCAGCATGAACTGCACGAGAACGCACAAGGTGTTTACAATGTTCATGACTGCTGTCTTGAGCTGAGCGGACTCCATGCTTGCCGTGGTATGGAGTCTGCAGTGTTCACCCAGGAAAAAAGGCACGAAATGGTTGTCTGCCGTTGCTTTCATGGAGGGAGGGGTGAGGCTGTACTCAGAATCACCTGTGATAATGTTTATTGCCCCATCAGGCACTGGGATCTCAACCCAGAATTCCAATGGGCGGGGGAGACTGCGGGAACTATGGGATAGCTATGGGATAACTACCCACAGTGCAACGCTCCAGAAATCGACACTAGCCCCGGTACATGGATGCACACCGCCGAATTAATGTGCTTAGTGTGGCCGCATACATTCGACTTTATACAATCTGTTTCCAAAATTTGAATTATATAAATTCGGATTAATCCCGTAGTGTAGACATACCCTTATGCACACCACAAAAGCCACCAACGTGGTCTCAGCAGAGAGGCCACGGACTGAATGGGTCACAAAGCCTGAACTCTCTTCTCCCTCGCACAGTGGGTTCCCTACAGCCAGGAAAGGGGAACATCCACTGCCGCTGTCTATGTTAAGCTTGTTCTATGGAGAGATTCCTTCAGCCTCCAGGGCACCATCACCACACAATCATACCCATGAAAGAAGAGACTAGCTGGGACTGCAGAACTTTGTTTTGCTTTTTATTTGATTTCTTGCCTTAGACATACAAATATAAAATCCCATTCCAGAAAGTGCTATTGCAGATTGGACGATTTCAAGTACAATTACATTTATTAAATTATAAAAACACGAAGCTTTAAAATTCACTATATAAAATAAAATTAAACCACAAATATTACAGCAAAAAAATCAAGTATTTAAATATTGGCATCTGCTCAAATTCTACCCGAGGTAATTGACAAAATATTTATTTCTCCCAGTAAAATTATACAAGATAATTCTTTCCAATCATAGTGTTGGGGATGAAGAGGAATAAGAGTAGCAAAATAATTACAGGGATTTACCCCCCTCACCCATCCCAAAGCTCAATGTGCTTCACAGCATTGAAAACTATATTAAAAAGGCATAAATTAGAGTATTATTGCTCCATCTAGTTAATACGCAGCATCCCAGCTGCAAATGCAGCATTCTATGTATGAAAGAGTTGCAAACAATGTATTACAATCCTCTAAGGCCAAGTGCTCAGCTTACAACTAATTAGTAACAACTGAAGGGAAAGTGCTAAAAACTGGCGATTAAGTTATAGGAATCCCAGAGTGTTTGAAATCCTGCTCCAATGAGGTACAAAATTACTAACGAGAGCCTTGGTACAGGAAGTGAAAGGAACAATAAGACAGAGACCCAAGCCTATAGCAGAATAACAAAGGCCGGTGGATTTGGGACATTATATCTCAATATAAAAATCCTGTCTTCATGTTGCTTGGAACAACTAAAGTCAGACTACCACAACACTTAGTGTTACCACTCAGCATCTTCCATACAAATTCACATTACCTGTAGCATGGAGTGAAGAGATACAAGTGTTTCTAAACAACCTGCAATAGCCATAACCATTTTTTTCCTTCCATCAGTGGCTTTTTCATCTAGGTACAATGAGTGTTATTCGCTCATCTGTATGTCTGTTTGAAAAAATTAATTTGTAAAGAAATATGGCAACCAATGTGAAGTTCTCGTCGCTGCTTCTACTCCAGGAGCAAGATGCAGGTCAACTCAGCTTGCAGGTCTTCCCCAGATTTACCTGCACCAAATCCAGCCCAGGTCCCCTGAAGAGAGTTTGTTGGAACTTTAAGTTAGCTGGTGGCTGGATTAGTTGCTAGAGAAGGGTAAAGTTTGAGACTGTAAGCAGCTGGCAAAATGCTGGGCTATTTTTCAAAAGCCAAATAATCTTACCCAGAGAAAGTGCCCTTAATTAACAGCTCTTACTCTCTTCCGTTCTCCCAACCACATGTTTTAAACAGAGCCTTCGCTGTCTTCCTCTACAGCTGATCATCGTGAAGGAAGGATCCTTGATGTCAAATAGCAGTCAGACTCCATATCGTATACAGGAAATATACAACACTCTACTCACATCAGACCAAAGTATGAAATAGTCAGCACCCTGAAGGAAAAGCCAGAAGTCACATATGTTGAACATCCACCAGGCCAGATGTTCAGGCACTGGCCTCCTTTTGCTTGACACAAATTGCACACAAATAGTTGCAGTTGCAATTTTGCCCCTGCAGTTTAGTTTGCTGAGGTGTCTGATCCCCTGGTTGGTACATACACTTTGACATCGGCATGATCAGGGCTGTCCCTAGCTATTTTGGTGCTTGCGGGGGGGGAGGGGGGCAGGGGGGCTGTGTGGGGCCCTAGGCCTCCGTGGGCGGGGGGGGCGAGGGGGGTTGGCCACCTTCTGCGGGAAGTGGAGTGACCTGGCCCCAGCCTGCTCTGCTCCCCTGGCTCCCAGCCTTGGGGGGAGGGGGGAACTGCCCCCCAGCACTCGCCGGCGGCGCGGCTGGGAGCCAGGGGAGCGGAGCAGGCTGGGGCCGGGTTGCTCTACTTACCGGTGAGTGCAGGCCTGACTGCTTCTGGAGTCCTCAGGGGAGTGGGGCTGGGGCAGGACAGGGGCGGGAAGAGGCGGGGCTGGGGCAGGGAAGGGGCCCTGCGGAAGAGCCGGAGCAGGGGCTAGAGCAGCACGCAGCTGCTCTAGCAGTACACAGCTAGAGCAGTACACAGCTGCGTACTTTGCGTATGGGTAAGGACGGCCCTGGACATGATCTCAGCTGTGGATGCAAATAATTCAACCTGTGGAAAGGGAGGCCTAGTTAAGGCCAGGTTGAAAATTTGTCCTGCCATGTTCAACAAGACACAGCTATCCAATACATGGGACGTCACAGTCTCATTCTGCCCCCTCCTCATAAGACAGACACCCTATCCAGGACTCACCTACGTTCTCTCAACTACCTACTGCAATCACAAGAACTGCTATAGCCGCCAAGACATTTAAACAAACTCCAGCAGCTGCTGACCTGACACTTGATAGAAACAGGAGTGAAAACAGTAGCCTGATCTGGGGTTTGGTTCTTGTTTCAGTGGCAGAATTTCCACGTCAGTTATTATTCCCCCAATGCAAAGCAGGATGTGAAGGACTCAAACCCTTGAGCATATTATGGAGATGGGCAAAGGGGCAGCTAATTCTAGAATACATGGGCACAGTGTGCCTCTATTTCCATAGTTTTGCTTTGGGATGGGCAGCCCACCACACCCCTGCAGCTCCCCAGTAACGCCAAGATGAGACAGACATGCCTTGCTGAAGGAGGCCACCGGCTCCAGCTAATACACAGCTGGGGTAGTTGCCCTTTCCATGGCAAAGGGAGGTGAGATCACAGGAACTCCTAGTGGAAACAAAGCCAGGCACCATCCTGGAGCCCTCTGCGAGGAGTTGGCATCTAGAGAGGAGCTCTGGTGCCAGAGCCCTCACTATGGTAGGTAACAGCGAGCCCCAGACCAGCTGCCATGGCCGGAAGGAATGGAGCTCTCGGCTTTTTGGTGGCACGTGGATGCAGGCTATTCCTTTCTTTATAAAAAACACTAGAAGCCTCTCCCTATCCTGTGGAGGGGTGCGGGGACTCCTTGTCACCATTTTCCCCAGAGGCAGAGGCCCAGCATCTGCACAGTCAAACCTGCTCCTGCCATTGTGCTGCCCTGGCTAGCCAGCAAAAGCATTACTGAGTTCTGAGCATGCACAGGTGGCAGTTCTCACTCGTCTGGAGAAGAGGGGCCCAAGCAAGTCCTCCATCCCACTGGCCTGTGGCCCTGCATGCCAGCCCGACTCAGGTCACCGCATAGAGCTCCTCGCGGTCATTTTTGCATATCTGATAGCGACAGATGAGCTTCTGTGACCAGGCCCAGGGATTCTTATGCTTGTCACGAGGCGGGAGTAGGAAAGCCACACTGCTGGCCACCAGGATGTGCCAGATGCTGTGCGTGTAGTAGTAGTTGTCATTGGTTTCCATGAATGCATACACCGAGATGGCGACGAAAGCCAAGATGATCCCTGGAATGAGGTAGAAAACCCAGCGCTTCCATGAGGTGGGGTAGCAATGGCGGCGCTTCACTCCGTGGTAAACCTAAAGGCACAATACCAGAGAAGGGTTATAGCAGCACAGACCCACCTCTTCTGTGGGGACCAGCAGACGCTCACACTGGTACCTGGGGATCCAGCCAGGAGGGGAACAAAGTGATAACTAAGAGGTCTGCACCTCCCAGCAAGAGAGGTCACTTGTACCATTTCAGTCCTGAGGAAGGAAGCTTAGAGTCTGCCCCAGCATGATGCAATGCCTGGACCTGTCTATTTTGTATTCAAGGCCCAAAATACCTTCAGTTAATAGAACAACCAAGTTACACATTTAAACACGTGGAGTTAGGCAATGCCCAAGTCACAGTCGCTGTACCTTTAAAGGCCCAGAGCACATATGTAACCAGCAATCACAGTTTGGCCATGAGACGTGCCGGCGAGTTAGAGCTGCCAGAGCAGCTGGGCCAGGCCAGGCTGAGATTGGTAACCTGGGAATTCCTCAGTTAACTTGTGGGAACAAGTTAAGGAAGAGACAGAAGTTGAAAGCACCTAAGCCTTCCCCTTTACCAGGGTCAGTGCATCCCCAGGTCACCCTGATCCATGGGTGGAGGGGAGGCTGCCTGAGTCCTGCTCATCGGGGCAGTCAGGGATCTCATCCCACTCAGCCACTGTGGCAGCTCCTCCCAGCTTCCACCTTGTTAAAAACATGTTTCTGAAAGCAGTAACAAATGGAGCACAGCCCCAGCCCAGCAGTCACTTACCCATGCCATGATCATGATGATGAGAGCAAAAAGACAGGGGCCCATCATGTTCCAAATCCCTCTGCGGTCCAGCTGCAGGGACATGGCAATTAACAGGGTCCCCAGCACAAAGAGAACCTAAGCAAGACAAGAGGACAACACTGACATCAAGAACGTACCTACCAGACTACCTTGCAGTGCTGTGCAGCACACTGTAGTCACTTGGCTCCTGTGGCTGCCAATGTCCTAACTCAAATGCAGGGTCCCTGGAAGGGAGAATCCTGCAGAGAGGCGCCGGAATCTGGATGGGATACAACAGCGCAGCATAAAAAATGCCACCTGGACAGACGCGCCACACTCGCCCCGCCAATGTGGCTCTGGAACAGCAGGTTCAGTGCTGAGCACTCCGTGATGCTGAGAAACTGGAGAGGGTCAGAGAAGAGCAACAGAAAAGCTCTTTGGGGCAGGGACGGTCTTGGTGTTGTGTTTTTACACAGCAGGCCCTGGCCCAGGCTGGGCTCCACAGTGCTTCCCCAACACAAATAGTCGGGAAGCTGCAGGAGCCAAGTTCTGAGGAGAGATTAGTTTGGCTCAGTGAAGGCGAATAAAGGAGACGCGTGATGGTCTACAGCTAACTGAAGGGGGATGGCACAAAGGGGCTAGGGGGAACGGATCCAGTTGGGAGGGGAAGTTTCGGCTGAATGTATTGCAGCAGCACACAGGTAGGGTGACCAGACAGGAAGTGTGAAAAATCGGGACGGGGGTGGGGGGTAATAGGAGAAGATCCAAAAATCGGGACTGTCCCTATAAAATCAGGACATATGGTCACCCTACACACAGGCCCTAGTCAGGCTCTGGGTGCTGCACAAACACAGAATATAACACAGGCTTTGCCCCAAAGAACTCGTTCTCTAATTTGACACATGGAGAAATGACACCGCCGAGGGGTTAAGTGGCCAGTGAGCCTGAGACACTGGGCCTGCCTGAGGTCCCGAGCCCCCTCAGCCCCATCTGCACCCAGCAGGGCAAAGGCGCTCTGGCTCTGAGTCAGGCCAAGTATCTCACACCGGGCACGTAAAACCCTGGGCCACTTTGGAACATGCCTTGGCCCAGGTCACGCAGCCCGTCAGCAGCAGAGTCAGGACCAGAACCCAGCTCTCCTACCCCCCAACCCTTTGCTTTCACCACAGCCCAGCTTTCCGCTCTGGGGCTAGCAGGAAAAGAAATGGTTAAGAAGCCAGTCTCAGTCAGTTGTGACAAGCAACTTCCTGCACCGCAGGTCTCAGCCTCGACATTCCCCTGGGTTCTTCAGTTAAAACTGATCTCTGAAGGACAAGGGCAGGAGGAAACTTGCCCTCTCCCTACTCTGCTAGTTGGGTGGGTGTCAGGATAGGAATCACAATGGTCCTGATGGGTCAGTACCATTCACAGACTGCCCAGGGTTTGCAGTCCTAACTTAGCCACACATTCAGTTGCACATTCATTCACCGAGTCACTGCTGCATGGAGAATTTGTTTGGAAGTTGAATTAAAATCCCTTCAGCCATTTTAGAAAAGTGTTTTTTTAAATGGATGAAAAAATGCCATTTTCCCACTTCAGAAGACAGATCCCGGGTCTGGTTCTTTGCTTGCAGAGGCCGGGTGGTTCCACCAACACGTGGGCTGGAGGGGTTAAACTGAGCAGGCGTGTTAGCCTCTCCCAGTTTAACCCAGCTGAGCGAGAAGGCAGGCAGTACCCGAGCGCAGACCTGCCTAACCCTATCAGCCCTTGCCTTTCTGCATGCTCACAATGTGGATATTTGAGTAATCAATCATTAGGCCCCGCCCTACTGAAATGAATGGGGCAATTCATCCGTCTCAGAGCTATTGCTTCAGGGTCTGCAGGGAGCCTGAGACCAGGGGCTGAGAGGGCGGTGAACTCCTATTCATCTCTAGGAGTTTGACTCAAACCAGCTCTGGAGGGCCCGATACTGGCGCAGCTGAGGACTCTGTGTGGGGACTCCGTTTTCCACCACCCCAGCACAGCTCTGCTTGGGTAGCACTGGCAGGGCCCCCACACAGACAGACTCCAGCCTGCCTGAGCCATGGTCAAGGAATGGGGAGGCCCAGTCTCCCCAAAGAGAAGTAGCAGCTGTCCCCATTAGCCCAGCAGATGGCTCATGCAGGGTGGTAGGGCCATAGGGGACCGGCACCCCGAGTGGGGCTGTGCCAAGGGCCCTGGGTTGCCTTAACAGACATCAAGCCAAATACCAAGGACATTCAGAGCTTTTACACTTATACCAGTTAGTTATGGAAATAGGGCTCTCTCAAAATCTCCTAGGAATTTAAATGCAAAAGGCCAAGCCCACAACACTGATACAGGGTACAGACTGCATGGCCCAGTGCTCAGGAAGCCAGGAAATGCCAGTGTTGCAGTTAACATGCAGCCGTAGTGCTTGTCTGTATTAAAAATGTTGCACTGGCTTTTAAACTAAACTGATCTTGTGAAACAGATTCCCTTTTCTATAGGGCTGGCCTTTGAATCAAATGTACACATTACAGGAGAACCCTTCCTTGTGCGATAACGGGAATGGAGAGTCTACGGCTGTAGGAGATGGGTTGGACTGGCCGGTAGACTGTGGAATTAAGAGCAGAATAACAGCCGTTGTGCTGATCCTTGAGTGTTTCATGTTGCAGGGTGACTGGTGCTTTGTGTAGCGAATGCCTGTTACTCACATATTTTAAGATTTTCTTCACTCGGGCCATACACAGGATCGTCACCCAAATGGCGACTACGGAGCCCAGGAAGTCGCAGTACTGCAGAGTGTCGTAATCCATGATGCACATCACAGCAACTCCTGGCTGGTCACACGCGTGGTAGAACTAGAGGCAGGGAACAAGAAGAGCCCAGTGCAGCAGAAGGCCGACATGCTCGCATGGCCAAGCTCCTTTTTGGACGGAGTTGGTAGACAAATACAAAAGGCTCAGCCCTGGAGCTACGAGTACCTGCAGGGAGGGTCTCCTGGTGCCTTGTTGCAGGCACGGAGAGTATCTGCTTTTGAACTGTATTTGTTGGTGACAGGCCTGCCAAGGGCTGAGGGGAAGGAAACGTTGGTTTCTCAACAGACTCAGCAGCCCATCTGCAAGTGCCTGGGACAGATCAGCCTCACGTGACATCCCTATTCACGTCCCCGAGATCTTGCCAAGGGTTCCCCGGCTGAGAGGGGAAAGGGAGCACCTGATGTTTCTAGTGTAAAATTGCTGCAAAGCAAACAGGTTTTGAAGGCAGTGGCAGTTTTGCTCTGCAGTTCACCCATAGGGCCCAAGAATCGGGCGGAGGGAGGGGAGGCTGGGCAATTTTGTTCTTTGGAGACTGCTCTGTTTCAAGTCATAGTAGCAGCACCCCACACCCTCATTCCCCTTCTGCAGACCTCCTTGCTACTCTGCTCAGTCATCACTAATGCCTGCCCTTCGCCTCCTTGCAGAGATTCAGTTGCCTCATTGGCTTGATGGGTTCCCTGCACTCAGTGCGGGAGGAACTAGGAACAGCACTGGGTGTATTCCCCAGGGCTCCCGTCCCAATCTGCTGTGGGGGAGTGGAGGGGCTGTTCTGGTACTAGACGTGTCATACTTTAGATATGATCCCTTATGATCCCTCTCATGGGCTAAGTGGAAGGTCCAGGCTCCAGGCCATATCCCAGCTAGCCAAGGCAGAGTGTGAGCTTTCACTGAGCGCACTGTGGCTGCCTACCCCCCTGGCCTGCATGGTCCATGTCTGCCGCAGGCCCTACAGAGGGGTGCACCCAGTCATAGAGAGAATCGATCTCACTGGGAGACAGGGTAATTAACACACAAGACAAGCACCCCACTCCCGCAAAGCTCTCCCATGGTTCCCATTGATCAGGCTCCGGCTGGGACGCTAACATGACATTGGAAGGAGGCAGGCTGATGAGGATGTTTTTCATGCCAAGTTTCGGATGGAGCGGCAGCCCTGTCAGGTTCACCAGCACGGGCAAAGGGTTCACATGGGGCCGGGCATGTGTGTTTTAATGGGTCTGTTCTCCACTGGAGGTGCCCGGCTGATGGCAGTGAGCGTTCCCAAGAACTGTGGGGGCTATAGGTAGAGAGCACCCTCCTGCTAAGCCTCTTCCTCTCAGGTACAGAGAAGCGGGCTACAGGAGCAGTCAATTTGAGGGTGGGGGTAGTGGAGTGGTTATAGCCTCTGGGGAGGGCCCAACACCTCACACCAACTTGCTGCTGGGTGGCAGAGCGAACAGACATGACTTACCGTGGAGAAGAACATGGTGTACGTGTAAACAGAGGCCTCCACCAGGTAGTAGCGATACAGAGCAACTGCAATGGCTGGCAGGAACATGAGGTTACTGAGCGTGAGAAGAAGGGTGGCCAGATTCTGTGTGCCGACAGACTGGGCTTTAGTGTTATCAGTGCAGCTCCATCCGCCCCAACCTGGCACACAGCAGAGGGAGGTTACAATGGCACGTCTCCAGGGCTTCCATAACATGCCAACAGCTGTCCAAGGATTCCCTAGCAAAGGCGCACACAATCCATCCCCACATGTGACAAATTCCACATCCCTCTCAATCTCTTCTCTCCATATCCTGTGGGTGACCAAATGCACTTGCTGCATTAGCCATCTGCCTATTCCCCTGCTCCTGCAACCCCAGGCTCTGTTGCAGCAGCTTAGCTTGGCAGGGAATGGGGCAGACTGCACCTTTGGGAAGGATTCCTGTGCTGGGGTCACAGTGATTCCAATAGGTAATGTGCATCGGCTGGTCAAATCCACAGTAACAAGAGACAAATGGACACTACACCCCTTCCTGCTCCTGGTGCTTAGCCAAGGGTCCCAGGTAACATGGCTCCAACTGCCCATCTGAAACCTTTAGCCAGTGACACTCCTGCTATCAGCACACAGTGATGCGCTAGCCCCGGGAGGGGTGCGGTCTCCAATTTACACTGGCACTGGCCCAGACCCCAAAGCCTGGGGAACATCCCAACAGAGCCTAACCCTTATTTTGGAGAGATTTCCATACTGCTCCTGTACAGTGGGAGCTATCAGCTGTCGATGGGCTGCACAGGGTCTGTCAATCCCTCCTGGAGGTCAGGGCTCTCTCTATCTCCAGGGTGACTCAACAGGCATTCCCTACTTGCTAAGTGATTTTTCAGACACGGTGATCAGTGGCTTGGGGCATGATGCCCTCCAGTGGGTGGGGGCTCAAAAGGGGAGATTTCTACAAAGCCAGAGAACCAGGATTGAAAACCAACGCCACAGTTTACAGAGGAGGCTGCGTTCTCGCTCTAGGGCCACATGGCTGCAGCCAGATAGACAGGAAGCAACTGGCTGGAATTTGAAGACAGCCAGGAGTTTTGGGCAAATTTCTCCTCTGTGTCTGTGAGGAGCTTACGATTTTCTCAAGTTTGTGCAAAGCTGGAAGGATATGTTAAGTAATTACTGTGAAACCCCAGACTGCAGTGGGTTGGCCAGCCACTTGCTCTGAGCCATTGAGAGTCCCAGGTCCAAGAGTGCGGGTTAGTTTTGATTGGATGCCAATTCTGTTGATTGACTGGATGGGTGTTGCTCTCCAGAACAGGTTTGTAGGGTGAATGTTCAGTTAGGAATTGCAGAGCTCATGCCAACACTCTCCAGTATTCATTGGCCTTGCTAGGACACTCGTGGAAAGGTCCAAGAAGTGCAAAATGCTGGGTTTGATGTGCCTGCATGTTTTCAGAAAAGACTTGGAGGGGTTCACCCAGCTCTGCAATTTAGGAGGAAAGTCTAGAAGTCCATCTGTGAATTCTAAGTGCTGACCTCATCATAATACAATGAATAGTGTAGAGTAGGTAGGACCTAACCATGTCTCAGGAACTGGGCTAAGGTCTACAGGGACATAGCTCTATCCCATCCACACTGTAACTCTTAGACATGTTGCAAGAGTCAGGGAACAGGCACCCCCCGATGGCTGCATGGGGCCTAACACATACAGGCAACCAGCCAAGTCATCCTGCATCTTCCTTGGGCTATTTTCTATTTGATTCAGACTCATGGCTTGCAAAGCCAAGAAACATGTAGGAGCACTTTGTGGATCACTGCATTCCTAAGGGTGAGAGGCCTTTGTCTCACTGCCAGTAGCCTGGCCCAGGAGTGCCTGCATTGCTGTCCTTTAGTGATGCCACTGGAAGATCACGGTCTTGGAGCTACTTTCATAAGGAAGGGGAAGTTGGGCCCAGAGCAGCAAGCGCTGCAGCCAGAGGGCCCTTCCCCAGATGTTCCAAGCTGGAGGTGGCTGTGGCCACTGCAGGTGGGCTATTCCAGTGCTCCTCACTAGCACGGGGGTCTCTGAGCATTGCCTGTGCAGGGGCTGCATGGGGTGCTGTGGTTTCACCCTACACTCTCCAGCTCTTGGAGCCCCTGGATTCCACTGCCTGCACATCAGAGTCCCTACACAGGAAAGGGGAAGTTTTGCCTCAGGGTGGACATGCAGGCCTGCCGGAAGGCTAGCCCAGGCTCCGGAAAGAGAGGGGACTCACCAGCTTTACAGCTGCAGCCGGCATAGAGGTAGCCATGTCTTCTCAGAAGACTGCACTGTCCATATGTCCCACAGTCGTCAAAGCAGGGGCTGAGGTATGTGGAGACGGTCACTTTGGCTTTCGCTTTGTTACATTCTCTGCAGCCAGAGGAGATTTGACTGTCAGATGAGCCTGAATGTGCAGAAGCACCTGCTGCCAACAGAACGCACTTTGATCCCCTCCCCCGGGTAATCAAGGGCTAGTACACAGTTTGGAGCCCCTCCCTGCACTGGGGCCAGGAGATCCTGGGGCTGATGTCACCCCGGCAGTCCCCCCGTTCAGTGTGCTGGGCTCCCTGTGCTGCGCTGCCAGCGACCTGATCTCCACTGGTAGACTTGCCCCTCTCCAGGGGCTGGAGGAATGCTGCGGACAGCGGGCACCTCTCTGGGGAGCCAACCCTTCCCCTGCTGCATGCTACGGAGCAGCCATAACGGTACCAAAGTGGTGTGCCAAGGCCTCCAGAGCTTCATGGACCACAGTGATAAACGGGTGTGGGGAGGGTGTTTGTGGGGGCTCCTCAGAACTAGCAGGTTAGAGAAACCTCCCCCCAGGTATCATGGAAGAGCCTGACCCCGCCAGCTGGCCTGTCCCTCCTGCCCCCCCTGCCCAGGGGCCCCAATGCAGGACCAAACCCAGAGTATTTTTGAGGGCTCTGGACAGTCTCCTCTGAAATGTCTCTGAGGAGGATGCTGCCACCCAGCCCCCGGCAGCATGTGAGATGGATGTAAACATTCCAGCACGGCCCCAACCCAGATACCTCCCACCTCAAACCACCTCCTGTTGTCACCCACAGAAGCACAGTGGGAGTGGGAGTGGGAGGGGCACGGAGCACTCGGAGTGAGGGTGGAGGGCATCCCATGGGGGTTTCTCTTCCATTGCCATAGACATGGGACATGTGGGAGGGTTCTGGCCTGGCTGATGCTTAGTGACCTGCTCACTGGCCCGAATGGGTTCTTGAGTACCTTGGCCAAAGCGTTTAAATACGGATTCAGGCCCCCAGGTTTGGACACCTGTATGGATGGGACCTGGGCTGGCAGGAGGTTCCAGCCAGGAGCTGTGAACATGGAAACTTGGTTGCAGGCCCCCAAGTTTGGGCATCTTGGCCTCGGTTCCTCTTGAACCATGCTCACCCTTATTTGTTTCACACAGAATACTTTGCTGTTGGCCAGAGAGAAGGACCTGGCTAGGACACTGATTGCTGAATGGGGAGGAAGGGAGTTGATGAGGGCACAGCAGACCGACTGGTGAGCTGGCTGTATAGCAAAGGCACATGAGCTAGGTAGGGTGAATGCTACCCCAGGGTGATGAGCTCAGCTGCCTGGCTCCCATCCTGTCCATCTGGGTTGAGCGATTGCTTCCCATTAACCCCATTTCCCTTCACCACCTGCAGCCCCATCTCTTCAGTCTCATCCACTGCGGGATCAGCACCAGATCAGGTACATTTATACCAGAGCAGTGAATTAGCTGCATGTCCTGTGCAGATAGAGTTCAGCTGGCCAGAGAAAGCCACTGGACACCCTGAGGTCCACAGTCCTACCAGCTAGAAGAGTTAGTGCTCAGGGGCTGGGAGATGAGTTACCACTGAGGTGATGCAGCACAGCCAGCCACCTGGATAGGCCTCACAGAGCACCGTGAGCCACCCTGGGCCAGAGTTTATTTGATGGTGATTGGATATTCCTGGCCTGCAGCTGCACTGTCCGACTCTCAGTGAAGAGACAGTGACTTCAGCCTCTGCAGGTCTCAAACGATAGAGAAATGCTCTCAGCCTAAGGCTGCAGAGGCCCCTGTGGAGCTGTAGGACAGCAGTTTTACTTTCATTTACAGCATGGCCGTTTGCAGCACCTGTCGGGTGAAAGCCAGCCTCCACGGCCACTGGGCAGGCAAGAATGCAAGCCAGCACCAGCCTCCACCACTGCCTCCTCCAGGTGAGAGCAAAGGGGCTTCGTGCCAGTGGCTTCCTGCTGCCAGGTGTGCTGCCCCATGGCAGAGCACTAGGCAGCACAGTGGTGCAGTTTGTCTGTGTGGTGGCGTTTGTCAAGGGGAGCTCCTGGCCAGCCATCGCACACTCACCCCTGGCCCCGTGGGCAGATGAGCTGCAGGGAAAGGAACCAGTTGTCAGTCTCTGGGTAGGGAATAATCAGCGTTGCTTCTGTGGAGGACCCAGTCACGTTCAGAGGGTAGCCCTGGAAAAAAGCTTCAGAGAAAAAGGGTGTTTGCCATTAGTTACATGACATGGCTAAGAACTCCCAGGGGCTCTAGAGATCTGGCGGGTGGGAGAAGGGAAAGAGACAAGACCCATAGAAATACCAGGCTGAGACCAATCCCCTGAGCTGTGGAGCAGTCGGAGATACATACCCCAAATCAGCCTGATCTCTCCACAATTGGCCCTCCTGAGATCAGAGCACACCAGGGAGCCAGCCCTCATGACCAGGGATTAGGGGTAATAGGAAAAGCCCAGACCCTATACCTCAGCACTCTCCAAGCCTCCATCCCCACTAGGGACAGTGTCCAAAGATACCCACTGGTTCAGCTCCACTGGTCCTCGCAGCACTGGGAGCCCAGGTGAGGCTGGCCCGGGGCGTCTCTGCTGTATGACACCGTGTGATGTTACCCTGCTCACAGCAAGATGAGTAAGGGCTTAAATCACCACCAGCAGCCGGCTACTCACTGCACCAGCACTCCCACCACAGCTAACTCCCGTGGCGCTCAGTGCTCCGCAGTGTAAGCGGAATCTCGATGGTTCCCTCAGCTCCACTGAACAAGGTCCAGAGATCCCCAGCACAGCAACTACACCCATTCCGCCAGCAGGAGGCTGGGCAGCAGCAGTGGCAACAGCATCTCCCCCTTATCTCGCTAGCACAGGCAGCTTCTTCCACAGGGACCCTTTATAACCAGGGGGCAAGGTTTGGAGAGGATGGTTCAGGCTGAAACAGACCATCACTATCAAACAGGAGCTGAAGTGCTGCCAGGCTCCAGCACCAGCCATGAGACCATGCTGCCAGAACCCAAATGTTACACCAGGAATACAAGCAGAGCCCAGAGGTGGGTGCCAGCGATGCCCGTACCTGTGCTGCAGTTCTGTGTGGTATTGAGGGTCAGCACTGGAGAGGCAGCAGTCATGCACGCAAACACGCTAGCATTGCCTATGCTCAGGGAAGTCTGAGGAAATAAAACACACAAGATCTGAAAAAACATTAAGCTGACCCCTCCTCCTAAAGTTACTCTGCCCAACACACCACACATTTCCACCACCCCCTGCCTCATGCTGTTACCCAGCCCCTCCCCACAACATTTCCCAGCTATATCATTTCATACCTCCCCACATCCCCCAAACAGAGCATTTGGCATTGGGGATTGTAGAACAAACCCATCTGGCAACACTTCACTGCTCTCTGGGCAAGCCAGGCTGGGGCACAAGTAGTGACTCTACCAAAGAACTTATAGGCGAATGGCGGACACCAGTGATTTTGCTGACTTAATGTTCCCGCTCTACACACGTGCACATTGTACATCATTTGAAAGCTTATTATGTCTGCTTTAAGATGAGGTATAGTGTGGATCTGTCACGTGGTGCTGTTACCACAGAAACAGGGATGACATCATCAGCAAGTTAACATGACCACTTTGAAATATTTCCATTTGTTTCTGTTAGTTTAACGACTCTAGGTATCATTTCAAGACATAAAATTGGATTTCTTTGTGACTCAAAAGCCTCATAGCAATCCAAAGGGTAAAACAAAATCTAATACATTTCTACAGGTGTCATTGAAATGTAATAGCACTGGTGATATTTCTAGTCAACACTGCCATCTTGTTCATCATTACGATCTGTGTCGAGAGCACATGGGTTACTACAGTCTTCATTGCCTTGGCACATACACAGTTCTGTGCAAGGAAGATTGTGTGGACATAACTGATTGTGCCTGTAACAACAGATAAGAACAGCACAGATAAGGTCTTATAGAAGCTCAGATGCCACTGGGCCCTTGAAGAATACAGGAAGTAGTTCATCATCCGCATTTTTCCAGCCATGTTGCAATAGTGACCCAAAGCTGGTTTCCCTTTGTGTGAAGATATCCAAATCTTTGTTTGCCAAGATGCTCTTTTGACATGCTCTTCAAAACTGTCCACACATGGTGGGAATTTTGCCAGTGACTTGTCCTTTTTGATGGCTACACTGAGGCACAAGCAATTCAGGTTTCTGTGGGTCTTCTTTTCTCTCTCACTCTGGTCATAGAGCACTTCCTTGCTTTAGAAATACAGGCTTGTCCGTCACTCTTTCCCAATATGCCAAATTTTTGATGGGACTGAAGAAGCTATGAGTCCTACCAGAATCAAGTGCACCTCTCACAATTCTCTCCATTTGTTCTTCACCAACAACTGCTATTTTCAGTAGAGACTGTTGTACATCTGATATGACATGCAGTCCAGTAGATATGTGGATAAGCACCCCTGGATGTGATTCAGGGTCAAATGGGTTTATCATATTGTTGCTGATGTGGTTGTCAAGAGCTGTAACATGCTTTTCATTCCTCTCTAGTGCAGACACAAGGACTTGTTAGGCCACTTCTTTCTCCTCACTGCTTTCGCATTTTCATTCAAGGTATGTCTTGTGAGGGTCTGTCTGACAAGAGCTGGCTTCTTTCTTGTCAGTCCTACAATCCCACTGCAGCCTTTTCAGTCTTTGATGACCATTTTCTCTGTTGCTATGTCACTCCAAATGCCCTTTTTTCATTGTGGCAAGTCCTTCTTTTACTTTCTCAATCTTACAGTGGAAGGTTCTCCTCGGGAGATTGATGCAAGTGTCCAGTAGAGTTGTTGATACACTTCTCTTCTTGTGTGTTTATCAAATGATCCTTTTGTATTCTCTACCAGTTTGGAAGCTATTGAGTTTGGCTGGATTTTTGGTGGCCAATGCTCTGTGGGATTAGCGACCCCAAGATGTTACAGTAGTGTCCAGGCTCGACGGCTTGAATGTGCAAAATCAAAGTTTTGCATGCAGACAAGCCAGCATTGGCATCTTGCTGTGTCAAGGGAGCATAGCAGGGATTTTGCGGTGTGATAGCTCCTGGTCTGATTGTATTGCTGGAGCAACTCCTGCGACTCTGTCATCCATCAGGGAGTGTGCTTTTCCCGGACACCTCGGGGAATGTTCTTCTTTCCTGCTACTTTCAGGAGCAACATTGTAGTCTGCTACCTTAAAGACAGTACGGATCCCTGAAATATGGCATGAGAAAATGGTAATTACCATTCCAAAGCCTAGAAAGCCCACTGATGAAGCAGGAAGCTATAGGCCAATTTCTCTACTATACATGACCTATAAACTTCTTGAACGTATCAGCCTCAAAAGAATATGCCCTTTTACTGAGCCAATTATTCCTGTTGAATAGGAAGGCTTCCAGCCAAAATGTGTTGTTGTGACCAAGTTCTGGCCATCACAACTCACACTGAGGATGGTGTAGTGGGGCGACTGCCCCACTCCTGAAGAACAGGGGATAAAAGCAGCCCTGGAGAGGACTGCAGCTGTGAAAAGCTAGGCTGACTGGGGAAGCAGCCACAGCTGGGGCCATGCCCCAATCAGGCCACAGCTGTCCTATAAAAGGGCTGTGAGCCAGGAGCTCAAGAAGACTCTCTCTCTAGCTCCTGAGAGAAAAGGACCGGGCTGCCTGGGAGCTGAGAAGGGTACCTGAGGTGGAGCAGTGCTGGGGAAGGGCAGAGGGAGCTGGGGAGCTCCAGCCTAGTAAAACCCCAGGCTGCAGGCCTTGTTAAAGGCCTACAAAAGGTACTGGGGCTGCAGAGGTGCAACCCAGAGATAGGCAGAGGTAGCTGGTCCAACCCCCCCCTTGCTGATGATGAGTGGTTTATAGACTGCAGTCGCCCCAGTGAGCGGGGGCTAGTGAGTGGGTGACTGACAGTAGCCACTGAGGCAAGGTGAGGATAGAGGGTTGGGGGTTCCCCTGGGTGGGGAGACCCAGATTGTGGGTTACTGCTAGGGGGCAGAACCCTGACGTAGAGGGGCACCAGGGTCCAGGAGGGACACAGGGGCCAGCGCAGGCGAGACACTGGCCTGAAGAGGGCACTCCATATGCTGGAGAGCTAATTTCCGGGACGACCAGCAGGAGGCGCCGCGCCGCTGAGTCATCACCCTACCACAGACGGCTATAAAAAAAAAATACTGGTGCAGTATTTGTCAACCTGTCGTCTGCGTATGATACTGTACGGATTAAAGGCCTGATGCTGAAACTTGCTAAAATTATATCTTGCTACCAAACACTTCACCTGCGGTGGACCATGCTGAGTAACAGATGCCTACAGGAGTAGCTGGGTAATAAGACCAGCTCACCCCGTACCATAAAAAACGGGCTACCACAAGGCTCTGTACTTGCTCCCACCCTTTTTACTATTTACATAAGTGACATGCCTCCAAAATTAGGATATGCAGATGATCTTGCCATGACAATCAAAGTATCAAACTTCCGTGACATGAGAAAGCATTAACTGAGGACCTCCAAACTATGGAACAATACTCCCAGAAATGGAGACTCATACCAAACCCTGGGAAAACAATAGTAAGCGCATTTCATCTTGATAATAGAAGTGCCAAAAACACACTGAAAGTAGGTTTCTGTGGTAAAAATGTGCGACATGACTACACTCCAACATATCGCCGAGTGAAACTCGACCACACCCTCACCTTCCATGATCATCTTGAGAAGGTAGCTGCAAAGGTAAAAACGAGAGCCAACATAATCCAGAAACTAGCAAGTACAACCTGGGATGCATCAGCATTTAGAAGATCTGCAATAGCACTTGTATATTCAGTAGCTGAATATTGTGCACTGATATGGAGCAGATGCAGCCACAGGCGACTTGTGGATACCCAGCTGAATACAGTGATGCGGTGCATCATGGGAACCCTTAAATCAACTCCAACATCATGGCTATCTGTTCTAACATCGCTCCCCCACCAATACGCTGAATTGCTGCGACATTCTGCAAAGCTCAGCGAATCCAAGAAAACAGACATCTTCCTATCCAACAAGACCTTGATAATGCCCTCTCACAACATCTTAAGTCCTGCAAGCCTTTCAGGGAATATTCATTTAGCCTCATGCAATCAGGCTACGGTCAAGAGGAGGCTTGGAAAGCAGATTGGGTTAAACTTTAAAAATAAGCACCTTGTGCCAAATCCCACGCAGAAGGTTCCTGGGTTTGACCTTCCATGGTCATCTTGGTCAACTCTGAACTGAATCCGAACCAATCATGGTATATGTGGACATCTAATGCACAAATGAAAAATCAAGGTCTCCCCAGCATGGGAGTATGGTTCCCCAAAACAGACCATCAAACATATCACTACCTACTGCCCAATTTATAAATATGAAGGAGGCATTATTGCAATAAATTCTGCTACTCCTGATGTAGCCATTTGGCTCGATCAACTTCAGGTGAAATTGTAGTTGCTGCTCTACACCAGCCACACGAAAGACGACGCCACACGAAAGACGACGACAACTCCTCCAAATTTCACTAAAAGAACCAGGAGTCTGGCACAAAGCAAATGCCAGATTCAAAGGCACTATGTACTTCTTCAGGGCCTGACTGCAGTAAAGGAACATGGTAGCATTGCACACTGTGTGTGAGCATAAGTGAAGTTTCCAATCATCCTCTCGCTCTGTACGGACATTCAGAAGTAGTATCTGTATAACCTGGAGAAAATGATCCCAGAATTTGAATGTAGGAGGCTTGGCATACTCCCTTATCTGATATGCCTCCAGTAGCGGTAGCATATGCTGAGTCACAGCATCATTTCTTTAACAACATGTTGTAAGGACTCAGTATCTTCAGACTCAAACACCTTTTGAGCATCAGCCAACATTTGCCAGACAAATGCTGGAACTACAGGAGTCCCTCTTCCTTGCTCACACCACTGAACAAATGAATCAAGTTCAGAGTACTCAGGACCTCAAATGCTAGAAGCAAGCCACATAGAGCATGATTGAATTGCTAACCAACAAGCATTTGAGCTGCAGTACAAGCTGCATATACATCAGAATCAACAAGAAGGTCTCACAATCCTGTGTTTCCCCAAAATTTCCCAGTACATGTACTAAAGCAGCACGGGGTGTGAAAAGCACCCAGAAAAATTACAGTGGTATCAAGTTCATTTGGGACAGTCCATTTCACTTGCTGAGCAACAGCATTCAGCTGCTGATCCATGGTCTGAATGGCATATTGCTGTCATTTCCTTACTTTTCAGCATTGTAGGATAGATTGTGGCCATGTCAGCTGGTTTGGCCTCCACAACAGGTATATATGAAACTACTGTGTAGGTGCTCTTTTTTGTTGCAAGCTTGTGGTTGAAACTAGGCCAAAATGGAACCACCTGAGTGTGAACAGCAGCAGGAGCAGCATCTGGTACTGGCAGGACATCACGAGGTAGTCATCTTAAAAGACACCAGGAGAGATCTCAGACAACGTTCATATGTAGGTGACAAGAGTTTATTTTCTCAAGTACTTTTTCATGGCAAGTTGGTTCTGGACGTATTCTAGGTTTTTCAAACACTGATTGCCCAGAGAGAGTAAGTGACTTTTCTTTCCTACACTTCAGTGATATTTCTTGTGATGCTGGACTACTTGTAGACTGGTCTTGAAATACCACTCTAGCCATTGAATGGAAGGTGTTCTTTCCATCAGTGGTCTCTACATTGATGTCTATATTATCATCTCCTCCATGGAGAAGCTTTCCACCAGCATGAAGTGGTATAAATTCATTTGGAATGAACATACCTGCCTTGAGTCTTTCTACTTCAGTTTTTGCAGCAGTAGTGATGAGCCAGCTGAGCTCATCATAACTGATGCAGAATCCAGGAATGTGTAATATGTCAATTAATTTGCAAGATCCAAACTCATGGTATAGCTGTGCAGCAAGGCTTACATGCAGTGGTGTGATAATTTTGGAACTGTTAAATACGATGCACTCTGCAATTGAGAGCTATCTTCTTTAAATGTCTTCTGAAGGATGATACCTCTTGCTGGCTGAATTATATGCCTCTTTATCTATCAATCAGCCAAAGGACAAACTCCTGCACCAATTGGAGCACAAAAGTAGCTGACCTCTGAACTACAATCATCTGACTTTGGATAATATTCCGAGGCTTTCATTTTGGCTATTTCAGACCGAAAGATTGAAGCAGCATTATATAAAACCACTTGTTCACTTGAAAGCTATTGATCAGGCTCATTCACTAGAAGAACATCCATAAAACATTTGGATGACTTAATTTCCTGTTTCAGATTACTAGCAGCTTGGATAGCATCAGCTAATGTTACTACGGTGCACAGAACAATGGTAGACTTGCCTTGTCCATGCTGTGAATGAAATGAAGTGCAGAACCATTGTGTTTTTTTTCTAATCTTGCCTGTAATTTGCTACTGGAACAGTTTACAGTTTCGACATCCGAAGTAAGTAGGGCTCTGCATCTTTGTAGCAGCTTGGAAAGAAAAAGAGCCTTCTTGTTAGACAATGATATTATGTACATCTCTTCAATCAGCTGATAAAATGAGATGACTGTATTGTTGCAGTGTAACTGGATAGTTTTGCTTTAAGAGTCACTTTACTCAAGTAGGAAGAAAGGTATATTGAGTGACAAACTGCATCCTTAGCAATGAAGTCTTCCACAGATATTCTTTGCAACATGTCACCATCTCTGCTTTGAAGTGTTGCCTCTCTTAGAATGGTTGCTCTCTCGTATGTTTCTATTTTATGAAGTTTCTTATCTTTTTCATGTGGTTTTCTCAAGCAAACAATGCAACAGGACCTGTCGCTGGAAGACGGGCTTGTTCCGATGGTTACAGACGCAGATGAACATGATGCTTTCTTATCAGCTTCAGAGTCTATTTTCTTTCCGGGGTTCAATACAACTCTGCTGGTGTGCCAAAACTGACTCGTGTCTGCATTTCTGAAAGCAACCCCTGTGATAAAGTATTGGCAGCAAATCCTCTACACTAGAAAACTCATGCAGAGGCCGCCAACACAATTACTCTCTCCTGGAGTCTGCTGCCAGCATCACAGAATTCTCTTCAGCACTGGTAGCTTTTGACAGTTTTGCATTCTTTTGATTTTCTTGAAATACAAAACATTTTTCAAAGTTTGCGGAGAGCCTTTTTCTCTTTGATGTAAACTTTAAGGGGCTTGTATTCTCTCTGTCTTTATATACTTAACTTCTCTGTAGAGGTAAAATTTCCAAAGCATATTGTTAGCATTCCCACCCCCACTACTACCACTTGTTATTTTGTACAAGTACACAAACTCGTGCTAAATTAAATCTATATATTAGTATCAAAATATACTTTTGTTCAGTGAGCACTTTGATTGAAGCCCAGTATGAAGTTGTGTATTGTCATCTCTAACACTAATAATGACCTGTGCATAAGCGCCACTGAATTAAAAAGCTAGTTTCTAGAATAGCGAGAACAGCTAGTACTGCATCTGTGGGCAATTACAAATTAAAACCTTCTATCAGGCAGATTACATGTTACATTGTATGCACAAAAGCTTATGAATGGAGAAGCATTACTTTAGGAATTCATGTATATTTATATCTACCCACTATGCAGTACAAACTATGGGCACGCAATCTACTGCTACTGGTGCACAACCCTCAGCGAGAGACTGATCCGGTTAGCAAATTTCAGCTGAAAATATAGAAAACTATTATAATCACTTGTGAGATACTTTGACAATTAAAAATATGGGATGTGAAAACATTTCATGTCAGCATATTGGAAAATATTGAGATTTGCTATTTTTGCCACATGCTAAACAGCTTCATCATTTCTGGAAAAAAAAATACTTGGCCATGCAACGCCAATAAAAATCCTTTAATATGTTCTCATTTGGTAGCTTTGACCAATAAACACCACATTACGGTGTTGTAATTAACAGTAAAAGCTGTAGTCAGTCATGTTGCAGTGTTTCTGGAACTGCAAACATTACCCTCATTTTGGGTACCACTGCTTCACCTCATCTACAGGCTTACGGAACCACTTGACAGCTCCCCATCATACCTCATCTAAATTTACTTAATAATAAATGATGTCTGTGTACAGAGGGTGGGTACATTAAACTCCAAAAATATGGCCCTTTTTGGAGAACTGCCACATGCCAACCAGTCATGGATCCCGGAGATTGCTCTCACCCCCAGTGCACCAGGGGAAGAGGTGAGACTAACCTGCTTGGAGCATTAGGAAGTTTTCTAGTCAGGTGCTGCTAGTAATACAGCATGCACTGCAGTGCATGTATTACATGCTCATTGAAAGGCTCACAAGTCGCTGCCCAAGTCATTCATCAACATATCAGGGTGAAGCTCCCCAGAAGGGGAACAGGGGGTAGATCTGACCTCCCAGCACAGGCTGTTCACTCTAGCGTATTGTTTTGCCAGATCACAGGCATGGAGAAATACATTTTAGTTGCCATCACTCAACAGAGAGGCTGTGACTTCCCAAGGTCCTGGCAGAGCAGGGACTTGAACCAAAATGTCTCAAGTCCCAGGCCAATGTCTTAACTATTGGACCATCCTTCCTCCCTTGCTAATGTGAGCAGCCCCCTGCTTCTCTCAGCTGTTTGGGAGGCTCTGCAACCTAGCATTTTCAGTGATGGCTGGGCGAGGGCTGTTGTGAAAGCTCAAGTTCATTCCCACTGCCTCTCCACAGGCTGGACTTTTCTGCTCTGCTGCGACTAAGAGACACTGACTAAATAACAGTTCTTGGCCCCCCAGTCAGGACACTTTTCTCCCCCGCAGATCCAGAGCCAGCCTGCAGGACATGCTAGATACAGAATGGCAGATCTGTAAAATTCTTTGTGACACTGAAAGATGAAAAGCAATGTATAGGGAGGTTCTCCCACGGCTCTGTAGCTCCACACCAACTCCCAGCCTCCCCAGGCCTGCCCCTGCAGCTCTGCTAGCACCTACACTCCCCAGACAGCTCACGAACAGTGTATATGCATGCATGGCAGGGCAACTATAGAGAGAAGATGCCAACACAAAGGTGACAGCTTACATGGGAGCACACTGTACCTCGTTCAGCAGCAGGTTCACCACCAGGGTGCCTCCACTGTCCATGCCAGTATTCAAGTTGAAGAGGAGAAGCGTGGGGAATTCAGAGTGGACAGGAATGCTGGGCCCATTTATAACTCTGAACCTCACAGAGGCAACGTCCAGGTCCTCACGGATGACGGGCTGATTCTGGAGGCAGAAGGTCCCTGGGTCGGATGCATTGTTTGCAGCACCCACTGCAGGTAGAGTGGTGTTCCCCAACATTCCCAGGGTGCTGGCATTGCGACCCCCGCCCAGGGCTGGAGTGCTCTGGCTCTGATTCAGGCTATTGTAGAAATTAAGGAAAGAATTGGTGCTCCCCGGCTTGCAAGCTGCAGAGCAACGAGGAAAGAAGGGAAGGTTAGCGTGACCGAGACCACCATGAGCATACCGCTCATTGGAACTGGAGGACTTTGCTTAGGGGGATGCTAGGCCTTCAGCTCATAGGACTGCCAAGCAAAGCCATTTGATCTTGAGGCCAGGACTGGAAACCAGGCCTCACCCCTCTAGGTGGCTGAGACTTGTAGGGGTGCACACACTAAGTGGGTACAGGGGGCGTGGGCCCCCGCACTAACTGCTGCCACATGAGAATGGGGCACTAGCGCTAGTCGTCTCACAACTGTTCCATGTACACAAGGCACCAGAGCTTCCCACGGGCCTGGTGATGCTGCTGCACTGGGGGGTGGGGGTGGGGGTTAAATCTGCCTCAAGCCCAGTTACAGGACCAGGAATAAACCCCAAAGCGCGGGGGCACAATCTGAACTGTGACACTCAGTGCTCCACTGGCTTTGGCAGCAGGTCACCACAACCAGGTACTCACAGGGGCCAAAGTGCCCCATTACTGAGCTCAGCTCCTGCCTCCCCTCCCCAAAGCTCTGTCTTCTGCAGCAGCTAGAGACACTGCTTCCCTACAAGCACCTAGGATTATGCTCTTCTCTTGCCTCGAGAGCCCACCAGCTTCTGCAGAAGACAGAGCCCCCAGAGCCCTCTTATCAGGTGGAAGAAAAGAGTTTCTAAAAGCTAATTTGTTAAGAACTTTCCAAGGATCAGATAAACTCCCCAAAGTGAAACCCGGCTCTGAGAGCCAAACGAGTCTTGGGCACCCAATACATCAGTGGTCTGCCCCACATCGTTCAGAGACCAGGCTCATTGCAGAGCCGCCAAACAGCCAGCAGATGGTTATTGCCTCAGTGCTGGAGGGGAGAGGCTGCCTCTCTCACTGCAGTGCCCTGAGCTAGCCTCTGCCGCCCCAATGGCCTTTGAAGAAGTCTGTGGCTGAGAAACCCTGGGCTCTTTTGAATTCCCAACACAGGCCTCCTGCTCCGCCCAACAGAATCAGCTGTAAGCACACAGCAGGGAGGCCTCACAGCCAGTGGTCAATCATTTAACAAGCAGCAGCACACACAAGGCACAACTGGATCCCAGCCTCCTGGAAAGCTTGAATGGCCTAGCCATGCCAGGTAGCAGGGATACAGGGGACAGTGACCCACACGACTACGTCCAGTCACACGGTATAGGCTGCCCCTCTCAAGACATGGGGCTTGTCCCACCTCTGTTTCCCTCCTGCCCTCCCCCCCCCCCGTTTCCCCCTCTAGGAAGAGCACAGGAGCAAGCCAGCCTGTGCTGGTGAAAGCCCAGTGGAGACATGGCAGACTGATGTGCACACTGGCCCTTCCCCACATGGCTGGCAGCATCCAAGAGCACACCTGTGAAGAAGGCAATCATCTCAAAGGAGACGCTGGCATTGGCGGTGCCCAGATTCTCTGCCATGATCTGCAGCCACTTCTCCCATGGGGGCGAATGGAGGACCAGGCTGCAATCCGCTGTCCCCTTGCAGCTGAGGATTTTCTGGAAGGACTGCGGCAGCATGATGGAGCCCAGCATGACCCGGATGGCACACGCCTTTGTGCTGTTCACCACACAGCTCCGCAGTGTGAACTGCATCGTGGCAGTGTACTCAGGGATGAAGATCCTGCAGGAATGGGAGCCATCAACACCTCAACACCTGCCCTGAACACAAGCCAGCCTGCGGCACTAGGGGCGGAGAAGGTCCGTAGACCTAAAAAGTGAAACCCTCCCAGGGTGAGTCCAGAGGGGCTTTTGGAGCCCAGCACAAGGTCACTCTGGTTTGTATTGCTACAGTCTGTCCAGGATGGTGCATTGTAATGTGTAACTGTGTCTCTAAAAGCACCATGAAGGAGCTTGTCTTTCCCTTCCTTGAAGGAGTGGGGCCTCATTAAGGGTATGTCTACACTACAGGATTAATCCGAATTTAGATAATTCGAATTTGGGAAACAGGTTGTATAAATTCGATTGTGTGCGGCCACACTAAGCACATTAATTCGGTTTTTAACCACATTAATTCGGTGGTGTGCGGCCACACTACCCCATTACTTTAACCACAGTAATTCGGTGGTGTGCGGCCACACTAACCCTAATTCGAATTAACAAAATCGATTTAGGCGCTACTCCGCTCGTCGAGGTGGAGTACAGAAATCGATTTTAAGTGCCCTTTAATTCGAATTAACTGGCTCTGTAGTGTGGACGGGTGAAGGGTTAATTCGGATTAACGCAGCTAAATCCGAATTAAAGTCGTAGTGTAGACCAGGCCTTAGTACAAGACCCCCCCCCCCCCCCCCCCCCCC